TAGGTGGACCCATGCAATAGCCGCTTTGCACCACTTAGACTCTGGCCTGTGCTTCCCGCCCCCCGAGAACTACAAGTCCCAGAGTCCTTTGGCTCTTGTGGGTGTTTCCTCTGCACAGGTTGTGGCGCTGAAGGTCCAGCCATCACCTGGGGGTCAGCCTGGTGCTCAGGCCCCAGGATGCATGCGAGGGAAGGAGAGAGGGAGAGAGAGGGAGAGGGAGGCACACGGCTGGCCTCTGGAGGAGAACCTGAGTTGGCATTTGCCAAGGCCCTTGTGTATAATTAGCAGGTGAGCCTGGCATGTGGTCAGAAGCGCAAGGAGCTCAAGCTCAGAGCCTTGCAAATTGCAGCGCAGGGAACAAATGTGCAGGTGCTGTTGACGAGAGAGTTAGCCGCCCGTGTCGGGGAGCGTCCTGGGGGTCCACATCTCCAAACCGTCCTTTGCCTGTGGTTACTGCAGCCTTATGGATGCACTGATCTATTATAAAAATGTTACATTTGCAATAAGGATACATAAAAACATGCAGTAAAAACGATTTTAAAAAGTTAAAAACCGGTACCAGTTAACCCTTGTGGAAAGATGCACTCTTTTTTTTTTAAACATAATTTTTATTGAGTTTTCCATATTTTGTTTCATTTTCATTACACAAATCCATAACTTAGTGCTCAAAAAGAGCAGCGACCTCCTTCCCTCCCTCTTTCTGACTTCCACATATCTTTAACAGATTCATCGCATTTCTATAACCACTTTTTTACCTTATATTTTCTTTCAACACTTATATGTAAATCAGCTCCTTATTTTCACATTACCAAACATTTCAAGTCAGACCTACAAACGCTTTCAAATGTTTACCGTTTTCTTTCAAATAAGATATCAATTTGCTCCAGTCCTTTTGAAAGGAAAGATGCCCTCTTGATTGCCTGCATAGAAAAGTTTGTGGCAGGCATTTGAAAATTGGCCCAGAAGGCGCCTGCTGAATCTCTGGTGGCAGAGAGTTCCAAAGGACTGGGTCAATGACACAAAAGGCTTGGTTTCTGGCTGTTGTCAATGGAGCCTTGCCAACTGGGGGAACGACCAGCTATGTCCCTGCAGATGATCTTGGTGATCCCTGCAGATAAATGATCCCCTGCAGGTGCTCTCAGAGAAAAGGCGGCCTTGTCGGCGTCCATCTGTCTTGAGAAACAATGGACTTCTCCTCCGGGGATGACGTTAAACGGTTTCGTGCCCTGCCTGGCGTGCAGGAGGACTGGTCCTCCTGAGCTGCCCTCTTCCCATGGCTGCCAGATTCTGTGCCCGTCCACAAGGGCACCCGCAAACTGGGCACACAGGGCCTCTCCAGAGTGGCTCCATCCAGCTTCCGCCTGGGTTTACCTGCTTTTGGCTTGTAAGGAAGCCACAGCAACCGTGTGGCCTTCCTGTCTTGCACTCCCTGCTCCCTCTTTTTTAAAAAATAGTATTTTAAAAATTCATTTTTCCTTTTAGCATTTATCATCAGACACAAATCTTAAATCTCTTTGCAAATAGGATTCGCGGAATCCCGGATTCCCTCCACCCTCCCTGGTTTCCCCAGATACTCTTTTCAAACGGCATCTTACAATGTTCGCCATATTTTCTTAAATTTCAATTTTTATCCTTATTCTTGCTTCATCACAAGTGTTTTTAAAATCCTGCCAATGTTTTCAGTTGTTTGCAGTGTTCTTTCAAGTAACTTACAAAATTCCCCCATTCTTTATTAAATTAAAATCGTCCTCTTGCTCTCTGATCTTCCCAGTCATTTTTGCCAATTTGGCAGAGTCCATCACCTTTATCAACCGTTCTTCTAAATTGTCCTTCCATCTTTGGGCAAGTAGCATCTGCTGTAGCCTACAGAAATACTGTCTTTAGGTATTTCTGTACCTAAAATTCCTAATAAAAAAGCTTCAGGTTGTTTTGTTTTTTTTAAAACAAAAGTTATTTTTAACATTTTTTTCAGCTCATTAGAAATCATTTTCCAATATGCTTTTTTGCACTCCCTGTTCTTGCCTCTGCCTTGGGGTCTTTTTATTTGGGGTGGGGGGCCGGAGTTCCCTGGCAGCTGGAGCTCTGTGCCAACTCTCCTTGGGTTTGCCAGCAAAGCTCAGGGAGGGTCCCTTGCGGTTGTGGGGAAATAGCCCCCTTCCCTGCCCCACAGAGTTGGCTGCTAGAGGGGGAAGCTTATGGGGGCGTCACCCACCCCCAGGGGGACCAGAGGCAAGCCAGCAGCTCTCTTCCAAGCATAGAGAGGTGGAAGGGACCAGGGGGTCGCCTAGTCTGACCCCCCGCAATGCAGGAATCTTTCGCCCAGGGTGGGATTCAAACCCTCAACCCTGAGGTTAGAAGTTTCGTGCTCTACCAGCTGAGCTATCCCACCGGCCCTGAACGGAATTGCTTTGGGGGCTTCGGTGAGGGGGGCTTCCTTAAAAAGGAGGGTGGCCGCCTTGCAGAGCTGGCTAAAGAGGGTTTTTTTTGGGGGGGGGAGCGCAGATGATTTTGGCTGTGGGTGAGGGTCAGGTTTGCTTGGAAATGGGGCTTTGTATTCCTGTCTTTGCAAGGAATTTGTGGAAGTTTCCTTCAGTGGACGGAACAAAGATGAAGGGGGGGGGGTTGGGAGGAGGGGAGGCTGGACAAGGAAGAGCCATGGTTGCCTTCCTCTTCTCCTTCCTCTTCCTCTTTCCTTTTCCCTTTCCTTTAACATTTTCATTGCTTCTATCTTGGACAGGGGTCAGCAACCTTTTTCAGCAGGGGGCCGGTCCACTGTCCCTCAGACCTTGTGGGGGGCCGGACTATATTTTTGGGGAAAATGTGAACGAATTCCTATGCCCCACAAATAACCCAGAGATGCATATTAAATATCAAAGCAATCTTTATGAGGGTCCAGAGACCCAACAAATCGTTACAAAGCAATGCACAATTGAGACAGCCTACCTCCAGGGACGCGGGTGGCGCTGTGGGTTAAAGCCTCAGCGCCTAGGGCTTGCCGATCGACAGGTCGGCGGTTTGAATCCCCGCGGCGGGGTGCGCTCCCGTTGCTCGGTTCCCAGCGCCTGCCAACCTAGCAGTTCGAAAGCACCCCCGGGTGCAAGTAGATAAATAGGGACCGCTTACCAGCGGGAAGGTAAATGGCGTTTCCGTGTGCTGCGCTGGCTCGCCAGATGCAGCTTTGTCACGCTGGCCACGTGACCCGGAAGTGTCTCCGGACAGCGCTGGCCCCCGGCCTCTTAAGTGAGATGGGCGCACAACCCTAGAGTCTGTCAAGACTGGCCCGTATGGGCAGGGGTACCTTTATCTTTACTTACCTCCAGGTTAAACAAGCATTTTGTTCAAAAGATAGGGATCATTGGTTCTTGCAACCACCGATAAAAACTTCGCCCCTGCTAATGTTCTAGCGTTTGTCCGGTTTTCCAATAGGAACCTGACATAGTGAGCCTTTGATTTTCCCAGGAAAGGTACCAGCAAGGGTAATATCAGTTCAGCCCTGGCTTGCTCATATTTTGCACAGTGCAGCAAAATATGTTTTATGGAATCGATGTCTTGAGCATACGAGCAAATAAAAGGACACATTCTACTCATGTAAGACACACACTGGTTCCTGGACACACGCTGATTGAGAAGGCAATTGGGCCGGATCCGGCCCACAGGCCTTAGGTTGCCTACCCCTGCCTTAAGACAGGATTTGTGAGCAAAGAGACAATGGGGAGGCTTTTCCATTTCCTTCCTCCTTGCAGAGAAATATTTGAGGTGACTGAAAGCGTCAAAATGGCTTTAGGACTGTTTTCCTGTACTGTTTCCAGACATGTGGTTTATAGATTGATGTATGTGTTTGCCTTGTACAGTTAGGAACATTTATTATATATACAAGACCTTAAAATCCCTACAACAACCCCGTGAGCAGAAATCGGGGCTCTCAGGTGAATCTGCATTGGGGGACACACCAGGCTGCTCCCTGCCAAGACCTACTGGGACTGTTTCAGTCCCCGTTCCTGAAAGAATCGCAGTGGGGATTCCAGAACACTTTTACTGGTTGTCCCCATCCCCAATTTTCTCTATTGTTTCTAGAACACTTTCTGAACAAAGCATTGCCTACAATTAACTGCAGGCCCTTGCCTAATGGACAAGGACAGGAAGAGGAGCTGATTCAAAGACAAGAGCCATCAAGTCCAGGGGTCAGCAAACTTTTTCAGCAGGGGGCCGGTCCACTGTCCCTCAGACCTTGTGGGGGGCCGGACTATATTTTGGAAAAAATAATAATGAACGAATTCCTATGCCCCACAAATAACCCAGAGGTGCATTTTAAATAAAAGCACACATTCTACTTACCGTATTTTTCGCCCTATAGGACGCATTTTCCCCCCTCCAAAAATGAAGGGGAAATGTGTGTGCGTCCTATGGGGCAAATGCAGGCTTTCGCTGAAGCCTGGAGAGCGAGAGGGGTCGGTGCTCTCCAGGCTTCAGGAAGCTATCCGCAAGCCTGGGGAGCCTGCAGAGGTTCCCGCCGGGCTCCCTAGGCTTGCGGATAGCAGCCTACATCCCGAAACTCGGGGCGCAAAGCGGAGCGTGCCCCGGGCTTTGCGTGGCTCTCCGCAAGCTGTGGAGTCGCGCCGGGCTCCCACGGCTTGCGGAGAGCTGCCTGTTCTGGGGGCTGGGAAAAAATAATAATTCCCCCCTTTATTTCCGCCCCCCCAAAAAAACTAGGTGCGCCCTATGGGGCGAAAAATACGGTATATAAAAACACACTGATTCTTGGACCGTCCGTGGGCTGGATTTAGAAGGCGATTGGGCCGGATCCGGCCCCCGGTCCTTAGGTTGCCTACCCCTGTTCTGGGAGTTTCCCTCAGTGGATTTTGGGTGTCCCCCCCCTTTGGCCGTGTTTGGTGTGTGTGTGTGTTTTGGGGGGGGGGCTCTTGCTCTGCGAATCGCTTGGGGAGGGGGCGATGCTGTTTTGTGAGCCTGACTCGTCTGTTGCTGCCGCTTGTGTCTTGCAGCCCCCACCCCGTCAAGCCCATCAGCAGCTCTCCGGGGCCAAACCCCCCTCAGGAGGAGGAGAAGCAGAGGCCGGCGGGCAGCCTGACCCCTGTCCGGAGCAGTGGCCAGGAGCGCGAGCCGGGCAGCGCCGTCAGCGTCACTGCGGGGGGAGCGCCCACCTCCCAGCTGGAGAAACCGGAGCCCAAAAGGGTAAAAGGGGATGGACGGGAGGGTGGAGGGGGGTGGGAGAAAATGCCCCAAGGGCGGCAGAGGTGGGGGGGGCTTCCAGTGTCCTTGAAGAGAGAGAGATAAAACTTTATTCGCATTAGCCAATGGCCATAGCAACAGGAAAGCATTACAGCATATGCAGAAAAGGACAATTTGATATAAAAGGACAATTTAAAGTCCTGAATCAGCAGTCAGTTAGTGGCCCTTATTCTTGTCCTTGAAGAAGAACCTTTAATTGAAGTGCGTAGATATAGGAAGAGCCTGCAGGATCAGGCCAAAGGGGGTCCACCCAGTCCAGCACCCTGGACAGGCACAGGGGCCAACCCATGGGAGACCCAGAAGCAAGGTTCAGGGACAAGAGCGCCCTCTCTTCCTGGGATTCTGAAGCCTGGCTGCCGCTGACCGTGGACCCAGAGCATAGCCCATGTGGCTGGGAGCCCCTGATCCTCCATGGATCAGCCCAGTCCTCTTCTCAAGCCAGCTAGGCTGCCTCCGGTGGCAGGGAGTTCCGTAGTTTGACCCTGTGCTGCGGGAAGAAGGGGCTTCCCTGCATCTGTGCTCTTGGGCTGGTAGATTATTTTTGTGCCCCCTATGGGATTCCCCCCTGTTGCCCCTCCGCCATTGGGGCCACTCTGCCTCGAAAGAAGACCCTGCTCCGACAGATCCCATAGCGCTCGCCTTTCCCAGGTCCAGTTCCTGGAAGCCCCCTGGCCACCTCCTGCTGCCCCACCAGAGTGCCCATCTGGAGGCAGAGCAGCCTGGCTTGGCCTTCCGGGGGGTGGGGGTCTGAAATGGGTCCCTTTGGTCTGACCCAACAGCCTCTCCTGGTGTTCCTAAAATTCTTCTCTGTGGCTTTTTCTGCCCCCTGTGCGGCATTATTATTATTATTATTATTATTATTATTAGTATTAGTATTATTATTATTAGTGCTTGCTGGTCCTTGTCCCGATGGAGAGAAAAGTCTTGCTTCTCTGCTAACCGCAGGCCCCTCCCTCTGTCCCCCCCCCAGGACTCTTCCGCGCTGGATCCGTCCGCCAAGTATTACCACCTGACGCACGACGAGCTGATCCAGCTGCTGCTGAAGCGAGAGGCGGAGCTGAGCCAGACGCAGGATCAGGTCCGCGAGCTGGAGAACTACATTGACCTCCTCCTGGTGCGCATCATGGAGCAGTCTCCCCGCCTGCTGCAGATCCCCCTGGAGGGGGAGCCCAAGGCAGCCAAATAACGCCCCCACCCCCCTTTCCACCCGCCACGCCTCTGCCCTCCCCACTCTTCAGTTCCCGGCCCCCTCTCCTGGCTCAAGGCGGCCCCCCATGGAAGGAGAGGCCCTGCGGAAAGGGCCCTTTGCTTCCGGACCTCTGGGCCACGGGGAACCGGGCGCCGGTGTTTGTGGGACGCAGCCGGTTTTGAGCAAGACGCCGTTGTCTGGAGAGTCGCTCGCCTCCCGTCCTGCAAGCTTCCCGGTCCATCGCAGCACCCGCAGTTACGCCCAGGGCTAGGATCCACTCCCCGTCCCCTGGGATGGTGACTCTGGCGGGCTGTTGGCTCCCTGTCTGTGGGGGTGGTGGGTGTTCCGGGGGGTGTGTGTGGGGGTGGTGGGTGTTCCTTCGGGGGGAGCCTGCCGACGTGGCCGAAGGATGGACTGCGAAACCAGGGAGATGGATTGCGCAGGAAAGACCTCCTGGTGGGCCGAGGGCACGGCGTGCAGACCCCACCACTGTGCTCCTTGAACGACTAGCATCCCCCAGCCTGCGCCAACCACTCAGCACCTCGCCAGGTTCACCTGCCCCCTGGGGGCAAGGGGGGGCTGCCTAGGACTTGGGGCGCTGTCCTGATCCAGCGCCTGGCACTGTTTTCATTGCATGCTGGAATAAGTTGCAACCCGCCTCTGCCTGCCTGCCCTTTCCCTTCTCTTTCTCTGCTTGGGGTGGCGGCAGGGACTTGGCAGGGGGGCACCGCAGGGGCATCTCGTCCTTTTTGCATCCCCCCCTCCCCACACCTGCTGCGATAATCAGAACAAAAACAGTGTGCCTTTTCTTTCGCGGGGAGGACAAATGCGCCAGAGCATCTCCAGGCTTGTGCGCTGCGTCGTTCGTGGCGACTCCTGCGCCGCAGACCAGCAGAAGCACATGGGTAATGTCCTCAGGCAGGGCAGGGGGGCTTGGCATCATCGCCAGAAGCCCCGGGCGAAAGTCTCTGGGTGCCCAGAGGAAGGAGGACCCTGCTCCTTAGCGGGTGACCAAACGGCACGGGACCAAAGTGTGTGGTTCCTTGAAGGTGGCTTCCTGCTCTGGGTTTCCTTCTCAGACCTGGCGGTGCCCTCAGGCCTTGCAATGTCGCTGCTTTGCCCTGGCCCTTTCCTGCCCCAGGAGGAGACCTGGGCAGCCTGCACTCCCCCCCCCCCGGACACACACCTGGCCCTTGGGGAATAGCGATGCCTTCGGGGAAGCTCCAGTCCTTGGTCCCATCCCTTGCGCATCATCTGTTGTGCATCTCTCTGCCCTTAACGGTGGGCCGTGGATTTTCTGCCCGTAGCCCTGGCTACATGGTCATCCGGTGGCCTCAGCTTGCCCTCCTTTCCTGGTCCCGAAAGGGGCTGCCAGGCTGCGGAGAGTCCTGCCTGCTTCTCCCAGGGTGGTGATTGTGGACCACTGATTCTTTTCTTACTCTGCCCACCTGGGGAGCGCTATATCCCTCTTCTCTCCCCACCCCCCTGCAATGGCTGCAGGGGGGCTTTCCCCCCTTGCCCCCCCCCACCTACAGCCTCCCGGTCAGCTCTCCCACCAGCCACAGCCTCCTTCCCTCCCCCTTCGGCTGCTCTCGACTTGACCAGGGCTAGTGAGCGGTGGTGGAGCAACTCCGGCCGGCCTTTGCGCTGCGCCTTGGTTCAGCTGCCCGCGGGCGATGGAGGAGCTCAGCAGAAGGGCATCAGGCCCTTCTGACCTTGGCACGGCTCAGAGAGGAGTCTTTGGGCAAGGAGCAGGGGGCGCCAGGGACCCATGAGGTGGGCTGAGCCAGGGCGTTCTCAGTTTGCCTCTGCCAGGAGAGGGGCAAGCCTGTTGGTTGCCTGCCTGTGTGGAGGCCTCCATGGCCCACTCGCTGCAGGAAGGTCGTTGGTGCTGAGCTCTGGCCCCTGAGGTCCCCTGACCCCCCCCCACAAGCTGCCCAGCCCCCTTTCTCTCCCCAGGGAGCTGGGGCTGCAAGGTTCACCCATCGACTCCTCGATCCCCGGATCCCGATGCCAAAAATGCGCAGCTGCCTTGCTCCTTGTCCCCCTCCAGGAATTGGGGTGCTGCTGCCCCCCACATCCTTGTCTGGAAGCTTTAAAAAGGGGGAGGAGAGCCGGCTGCCCCCATCCCAAGACGGTAGTTGTTGGGGAGGATTTGCAGGGGCGCGTTTTGAGAGGGCGGGGGGAATATTTCTGGATTTGCAGGGTCTTCGCTTTCGAGGGTGGTTCTCATCAACAGTTTGCCTCCACGTTTCTCACCTTCTGCCAAATAAGCCTCACGACCCACAGCAGGTTTCTTTCAATCCGGTGCCCTTCCGAAGCCACGGACTGCAGCTCCCCTAAGGCTTTTGGCGGGCGCCGGGTTGGGAAAGGAGAAACGTACCATTCAGTATTTCCTGGGGGTTCTTACCTCCTGGCAAGAGTTTCCTTGCAGTGTTCTGCGTGGGGCTGGTTGGTTTCGTTTAATTGTTCGTTTGGGCTCCTCTCCTGGCCCAAAGGGCCACCGGCCAGCGCCAAGCAAACCGTGTCCCGAGGAGAGCAGTGTTAGTTAACGTCTTCCTTCCCTTTGAGCAAGTTTGGGAGCACCCCTGCCCCCCTCCAGCCCGCCCCACGGGGGAATTTTACTCCCAGGCGTGGGGTTCATGCTGAGGTGCTCACTTGTATTAAGAATCTCATTGGGTGATGTTTGTTTAAAAAGAGGGGGGGGGAAGCTTGTTCTGTTTTAAGCACTTTAAAGGAAAAATAAAATGGTTGAATTTGTTGCTTAGAAATTCCTGGCTTGCCTTTTTTATTCCCATGCCCCAAATCCAAAGGTTGCAGTAGCCTCATAAGCCCCACATGTAAAGGGGGAGCTCCAAAGTTGTTACGCTGGAACTCGGAGACATACAGTGGAGCAGAATGTTGGAAGTTTCAAGACTGGTAAAATAGTAATATAATAATAATAAATTTTTATTTATATACTGCCCTCCCCGGCCAAAGCCGGGCTCAGAGTGGCTAACAACGAGTGAAAATAGCACAGTGTACATAAAAATCACACAGTCAATTAATGAAAATACATTCTAAAATCAATTCAGAATCAAATTAATGGCAACCATTGGGCTAAAGTTCTGTGAGGGTTACCTTCCCTTGCTGACTGTTACCCTCGCTTTCAGTCACTTCTCTGCATGACCAAATAGTTCTGATCTCGTAACATTTTCCCATTCACTGAGCGATCTCTCATCATACTCAGTTGATCAGCTCAGAAAGGAGGAAGAAACAGCAGGAAGTGAAAAGGCAGTGCCAGAAAGGTTGAAAAGGAAAAAGATGAATATTCACACAAACTAAGCCTGACTTGGGAACTCCTCTATCTATAGGGCCCATATGAGGTTTAATCAGTGCTAAACAGACAACTATCCCTTCTCAGAGAAACTGGATTCTGAACGTTTTGCTGTTGACAGTTTTGTTCCTCATGTAGTTGAAATGTTACAAACCATCACATCAGCTCAGCTAATTAGTGCCAGAGGCTTCATTATCAAAAATACAATATAGCATACAATACAATAAAAGAAATTACACAGCACAAGAGTTAAACTACGGAACTCCCTGCCACAGGAGGCAGGGATGGCGGCCAACTTGGCAGGCTTTAAAAGAGGTTCTTAAGCCTAAGATGCCATGGGTCCCACCCCACTCCTTGGAGGGGGTGGCAGAGTGAGGAGGGGGCAGGCCAGGGCCAGCCTCTGCTGTTGTCTTTGCAGAATTGGGGGGGGGGGAGTACCTTCCATCCTGCTCCTCGCTTGTCCCAACAGGAAGCAGCCCCCCCAATGATCGGCGTGTCGTCTCTGTGTGACAGGTCGCCTAATTCTTCCCAGCTGGATTTGGGGGGGGGGTAGGTTCCCACTGTGATGGCTTTCAGCAGGTGCCCCCGTTGGGCTGCAGCTAATCCAGGGGGATGAAGGGCTGAGGAAAAAGCCCCCGCCCAGAGTTTTGAAACTGACAGGCCAAATCGCGGCTGAACAATGCGAGCAGGTGGTCAAGATCAGGGGGCGACCTGCGAGAGAAGCAGGTGCTTGGATCCGGGATGCCTGAACACGCCTGGCCATCGGCTGCCAAGCCCAGCGCCCCACCCAGCCTGCTTCACCCTTTTGTCTGGGAAAGGGCAGCGGACCCCCCCTCCAGTCGCTCTGTTTCCCCAGGTGCACAGAGATCCCTCTTGACGCTGAACCCCAACCCATCTCTTCCCCAAAATATGCCCGCCGGCAGTGGTGGCACCCACCTCCAACAGGAGCTTTCCAGAGGGCTTGGCTTTTTGGGGGGGCACAGTGCCCCTTCCCACCCAAGATTGGCAGGCTGGCCCTGCTGCCCTCTCTGCAAAGAGCAAGGTACCCGCAAATACCCACAGAAGACCCTGGGGTGAGACTTCTGGATGAGGCCAGTGCCCACTTCGCCCAGCCTCCTGGGCTCACAGTGGCCACCAATAATAATAATATTTTTTTATTTATACCCCGCCCTTCCGGGTTCAAAAACCGGGTTCAGGGCAGCTAACAACAAATTTAAAACACTTAATTATAAAAGCAGTATAAAATACAGTATAAAAACATGAATAACAATAAAATTCAAGAATCAATTAGATAATCCCCAGGACTAGCTGGCTGAATTGGTCCTACTTGGGCCAGCGAGGAGCCCAGGGGAGAATTAGCTGTGGGGTCTCAGAGTGGGTGATCTTCATAAAAGGGGAGGGGGAGGGAAGAGAAGAGAAATAAAAGATCAGGCTGAATTCAAATTAAAGGCCAGGCGGAATAGCTCTGTCTTACAGGCCCTGCGGAAGGAGGTTAAATCCTGCAGGGCCCTGGTCTCATGGGACAGAGTATTCCACCAGGTCGGAGCCATCGCTGAGAAGGCCCTGGCCCTGGGGGAGGATAGTCTGACTTCCTTAGGGCCCGGGACCTCTAAACTATGGTTATTCATGGACCTTAGTGTCCTCTGCGGGGCAGACCAGGAGAGGCAGTCCCGTAAATACGAGGACCCTAAGCCACAAAGGGCTTTAAAGGTCAAGACCAGCACCTTGAACCTGACCCTATACACCAAGAGGCCCATTATAGCAGTGTTTCCCAACCGGTGTTCCGCGGCACACTATTGTGCCGCGAGACGTTGCCTGGTGTGCCGTGGGAGGGAGGCGGGCGAGTCGGGCGGCGAGAGGCGGGCGGCGGCGGCGAGGAGAGGCCGCCCAGCGCGGGGCTCTCGCCGTCTGCCTGCCTGCCTGCCTGCGTGGCGCTGACGTCACGGGGCTGTAACGTGCCCCACATAGGCACACGCGGGGTGGCGAGCGAGCTCCCTCCCACATCCCATCGCCGGCTCTGCACCAGGCGGTAGAGCTCGGCGAAGTCGCCGCGCTGGAAGGCCAGCAGCGCGCGCGCCTTGGCCAGGCTCTCGCCCGCCTGCGCCTCCAGGCACGGCGCCTCGGCGTTGGGCGGCAGCGAGCCCAGGAAGCGGCCCAGCCGGCCAGGGTCGCCCGCCTGCAGCAGCGCCGCGCACCCGCACGACACCTGCTCCGCCGAGAAGCCAGCCCCGCGCTTGGAGAGGACGCAGCAGCCGTCGCCAAACCCGATCCTCCTCCTCCTGCTCCACCGCCGTCCTCTGGCTCTCGGCCGGGAGGAGCCTGCGGCGACGGGGCGGGCGCCGAAGTTGGCAGAAGTTGGCGCGCCTCCTCGGCAGCGCCTTCGTCCTCCTCCTCCTGCCTCTGCTCTCCTCCGGCGGCGGGGGCGCGCCGCCCTCCCCGGCCGGGGGGCTCGGCGGGGCCCGCGGGGAAGGAGGCCATGTTCTCGGCGCGCGGGATCGCGGCCCCCCTCGCCCGCCTCCGGCCCGCTCCCCTCCCCCTGCGCGCTGCCCTAGCCGTGCGGGTCTCCTCCCCCTGCGCCGCCGTCCCCTTTCCACATCCTAGGAGCCGCGGTCCGCCTACCGCCCCCGGGCCGCGGCGCGGCTCCCAGCCCGGGCTGGCCTCCGCCTCCTGGGACGCGCGCCCACCCCCGCGGCCCCCAAACTTCGGAGCAACTCTCCAGACGCTTCTCCCCCGCCTCGGTCTCCCTTTCCACTTCTCTTCCCCCCTTCCTTCCCTCTTTCTTTCTCTTTCTCTCCCACCCGCCTTTCCTTCTATTAACTTTCCTTTCCCCTCCCTTCGTCCTTCCTACTTTTACTCCTGGGCTCCTCCCCCCTTTGCGCAGCCACAAATCAATCTCTCTCTCTTTTTTCCCCTCTCTCTCTTCTTTGCTCAGACGCAAAAAAGCGCCGCTTTTTGGAAATCCGGACTGCTGTCCCCGCTGAAACGATACTTTAAAAAAGGAAGAACCCACTGGCTCTTATTTCTGTTTAAAGCAGTAGATCCCGAACTCTTTTGGCCCACTGCCCCCTTGGTTCCACATCCCCCAGTGTCCCCTATGCTTACTCTATAGAAAGCATTACAGGGGTTAACGCGGCTCGCTAAGGAAGATATTAATAGAATTCTGCATTTGGGGGGAGACCCTAACAGTCATCTACCATTACCTTCTATGCTGTTACTATTTTTTTTTTTTTTTTTTACATAAGTAAAAAGTGACCTTTCCCCATCTGGCATGGTGGTGTGCCTCGAGATTTTTTTCATGAAACAAGTGTGCCTTTGCCCAAAAAAGGTTGGGAAACACTGCATTATAGGAAGCCCAGAAGCAGGTTCTGAGCACACGGTTCTCTCCCCTCCTGTTGCTGCCCCCCCCATAAAGGGAATAATCCCTTTGCTGACTTTCTCAGAGGCTCCTGCTTCTCTCTCTCTTTTTTTTCTTTTTTCTCTCTCTCCAGCCCTTTTCTGCAAGGGATGGTGGCTGAGAGGAAGGGCAGCGGCAGCCTTCAAGTGGGGACATCAAAACTCAAAATGCCCCCCATCCTAAAAACCACAAGTACAGGTGAAACTCGAAAAATTAGAATATCGTGGAAAAGTTCATTCATCTTGCCATTCCTTTTTCGTTGGCATAAATTCTTTTTTTTCCAGTTTTCAGCAATTGGGATCCTTGCCGCTCCTGTGGCTCCTTTTGTACCACTTTTGGATGTAGATATTATTTTTTTATTTCTCTTTCTTTTGAAAACCGTATAAAAAGATGATTAAATAAATAAATGAAGAGGACTGGGTGCACAGGAGATGGAGGGAGCGTGTTTTCTGCTATTCCGTGTTGGCTATTTGCAGGTTAGTTGCGCTGCAGAAGGCGTGCTGGGGAGACCACACATTACAAGGAACGCAAAATAACTAGCTAGGTTTTAATAACAAAACCTTGCCAACAAAGGTCTGTATAGTTAAAGCTATGGTTTTCCCAGTAGTGATGTATGGAAGTGAGAGCTGGACCATAAAGAAGGCTGATTGCTGAAGAATGGATGCTTTTGAATTATGGTGCTGGAGGAGACTCTGGAGAGTCCCATGGACTGCAAGAAGATCAAACCTCTCCATTCTGACATTCTGCTGTAAAACTAGGTCACGTTATTTGCTCTGGCCCTTAAAGAAATACACATCTTGTGGACCAATAATGAACCTTCAAATTTCCAAGCAGTGGTGGAAATCCATGCGGCGTGACATGGATGCGATCAGCCTGTGGCACTGCTGAGGTGTTATGGAAGACCAGGATGCTTCAATAGCAGCCTTCAGCTCTTCTGTATTGCTCAGTGTCATGTCTCTCATCTTTCTCTTGGCAATGCCCCATAGATTCTCTATGGGGTTCAGGTCAGGCGAGTTTGCTGGCCAATCAAGCACAGTAATCCCATGGGCATTGAACCAGGTTTTGGTACTTTGGGCAGTGTGGGCAGGTGCCGAAGTCCTGCGGGAAAATAAAGTCAGCATCCCCATAAAGCTTGTCTGCGGAAGGAAGCATAAAGCATAAAATCTCCTGGTAGACAGCTGTGTTGACCCATGAAGCACAGTGGACCAGCACCAGCTGATGACATGGCTCCCCAAATCAACACAGACTGTGGAAACTTCACATTGGACTTCAAGCATCTGGCATTGTGTGCCTCCCCATTCTTCCTCCAGACTCTGGGGCCTTGGTTTCCAAATGAGATGCAAAAGCTGCTCTCATCAGAAAAGAGATTGGGGGAGCTTTCCAAGCAGTGGCTGCCGGCCAGGGATGCTGGAGCTGCCATCCCTGCATTGCAGGGTTGGGCTGGATGACCTCTGGGGGTCCCTTCCCACTCCAGGCCCCCGATTCCGGCAGGCAGCCCGGCCTCCCTCCTCCTCCGCCTGATGCAGCCCTTTGGCCGCCCGCTGCCTCCTCTTCCTCGCCCGGCCAGCTGCGCGACGCCGGGGCTCCCTTCCTCCCTTGAAACTACACTTCCCACCATTCCTTTCGCGCAGCCCGGGGCGGAGCGACGCGCGCAGGCGGGACTACATTTCCCGTCATGCTCCTCCCGCGCCGCGAGGCCGCTTTCCCCTCTGGGCGGCGAAGGACTACATGCCCCAGCATGCCTCGCGGGAGCTGCGGTGGGCCTCGTCCAATGGGAGGCGGTGCTGGCGGAGGGGGCGGGGCCAGGCGGCGCAGGAGACTCGCTGGCTGCCAGTGGCGCCGTGAGGGGATGGCGGAGAGCGCGGGCATCCCGCCCTTCCAGCTGGGGAGGCCTCGCTTCGAGCAGGTGGGCGCCGCCGCGTCGCGAAGGGCCGACGGAGGGGAGCGGGGAGGGGGGTGTCTCTGAGGGCGGGGGGGGGTCGCCGGTGAAGAAGCGCAAGCCCCGCCCCTCGGCGGCTCCACGCCGGCGCTGATTGGGCCTCGCCCACGCCACTCGCCCGCTTGAATTCCCGCCCTTTTTTGCTGGCTCCCAACGCCGCCCGCTGATTGGCGCTCGCCTGGCTCGGGGCGGGGCTGGAGGCGGGGCTTCTGCTGGGCTCTCGCCTGGGGAGAAGAGCGGCGGCCGGCGGGACTCCCCGCCACAAGGTGCGGCGCCATAGGGCGAACCCCGTCGCTGGGAGCGGGGGGGGGGATGTCTGGCATTAAGCGGGTCTCGTCCTGCGACAGCGAAGTGGAGGGGGCAGTGTTTCTCCAGGTGAAGGCAGCTTGTGGGCGGCCAGAGGCGTCTCTGGAGCCTGTGTTGGAAATGGGGGCCTCGAGCCCGGATTTGGTCGGATCCGGCCGGGGCCTCGCGGAGGGTGGGTGCTGTTCCGTTGCTCCCAGGGCACTTTCCACTCTCTGAAACCCTCGCAGTTGAAACTTTGCTGTTGCCTTCTCCATCCTTATCCAAGAAAGGAGACCTGCAGTCTCTGAAGAAGTGGGCATGCACACGGAAGCTTATACCAGAACAAGCTTAGTTGGTCTATAAGGTGCTACTAGACATTTTTAAAATTTATTTTTATATCAAGAAAGGAGATTTTGCCTAAACATTAGGAATAGCTTCCTGATGGGAAGACAGAGGAATGGACTCCCTGAAAAGGTGGTGGTCTCTCCCTCCTTGGAGGTTGGGTGGCCATCTTTCAGGGATGCTTGAGCTGAGATTCCTGCATAGCAGGGGGCTGGGCTGGATGACCCCCAGGGTCCCTTCCAACTCTTAAGATTCTATGAGTCTAAGGTACTTGGGGAAGAAAAAGGCAGCAGTTACTGTAGCAGGTAGAGAGCGTGGATCTCCTGCCTGCCTCTCTATCTTCTGTCAAAGGGTAGCTGAGAAACCTTGGCAGTCCCTTTAGTGGGATCGTTTATACATCTGTATAGGACAATGCTTTTATTTAGTTAACCAAAATAGCACGGAGGCATTTGATGTGCCCATGAAGCAGCCCCAAGCAGGTGTTCCAACCGTAGCCCCCCCTCCAATGCTTTGCAAGGTTGCAGAAGGACGTGGGTTTGCATGCCGTTTATTTGGGAGAGTCGTACGCCAACATCATCTGCAGCCTTGCAAAAGATCCCAGCCTGCTCCTGTCAAATCAGTGCAGGGCAGCAAAGGGTTAAGGGGTGCCTTCAGGGCAGAGATTGCATTCTGATGCTGGTGAATTTCTAATTTCTCTCTCATTATTTCCAAGTGGGGGGGGGCAGGGAGCTACCCTGGGATGCATGCCCATAACTTCACCCAGAGTCCCCCTGTGGTTGTTCGTAATACACAGATCTTTGCTGAGTCCTGTTCCTTTTTAGAATTGGGGTTCAGCATCTGAGTCTTCATTCTGCCTCCGCTGCTCCGGCCATTGCCTTATTCACAACAAAGAGGGTTTTTTAGGAGACATTTCCGGCAAACTGTGCCTAACGTTCAGTTAGTATATGCTCATAAATGCCGTGCTGCCCTGTAGGGTCAAAGTCCCAATGCAATAAGTGGGTCGCTCAAAACATCATGGCATTTCCTCCTGACCTTGAAATGTCTGAAAGGACCTGGTGAATTTTCTTTAGACAACCCTCCTTTCGTCACACGGGACTATTTGCTTCTCGCTCTGGGCTTCTTTTGGTCCTTTGCCCGACTTTTCTGGAGGGCAACTGAAAGCCTTCCTCGCATGTAGACCGGCCACCAGCCGTGGCTGTGAAGGATTTTCACTTCCAGGTTTTGGATTTCTGAATAGGTGGAACCAGGACGGAGAGCAAATCCCATGGGAGGTGGTGGGTTGGATTAGACAAAACTTGCTCGGATGTGGCTCTTAGATGTCATAGATTTAATTGGAGAAAGTTCATATTTGTGAGAAGTGCAAGGGATAATTGAATGCCATTTATTTGTTACAACTTATTTAACATGATACAAGAAGATTTATAATGTGCCAAGTATAGATTTTTTTATTAAAAAAAGAATCACAAGAGCCTCATGACATAGGCCATCATTATTCCCATTTTACAGATGGGGAACTGAACATGAGACGCAATGCTTGCCCAACTTCCAAGTCTGTGGGCAGTGCAGATGCCTCTGTGTTCAGCTCTTTGGCCACTGGGCAACACCAGGCATAGGCAAACTCGGCCCTCCAGGACTACAACTCCCATCATCCCAAGCTAACAGGACCAGTGGTCAGGGATGATGGGAATTGTAGTCTCAAAACATCTGGAGGGCCGAGTTTGCCTGTGCCTGGGCAACACCGACTCTCCTTCTGATAAATAAGGTGGGGAGAGGAGGTGGTAGCATTGCTGAGGTTTACATGTGCTGGCAAGCTCCTTTAGTGTTCCTGCTGCTGTGGAAAGGCTGCGAGTTGCTTATTTCTTGGAAGAGAGGTTAGCACTCTTCTGCAGTCCAGGGGGGTCAGTTCAGTCTTGGCTTCTTCCTGCCTCTTAGGGCTGTGAGCCCAAGTCCAGTGCGCTGGTCCCAGTTCCATTAACCTCAGTGGTTCTGGTGCAGGGAAGAACAGCAGCCCTTCCCATGGGTGTAGTGCATTCTGAGTGTGTGCATAACACATCATGTGTTGTTGTTGTTGTTGAGTCGTTTAGTCGTGTCTGACTCTTCGTGACCCCCTGGACCAGAGCACGCCAGGCACTCCTGTCTTCCACTGCCTCCCGCAGTTTGGTCAGGCTCATGTTTGTAGCTTCGAGAACACTGTCCAATCATCTCGTCCTCCGTCGTCCCCTTCTCCTTGTGCCCTCCATCTTTCCCAACATCAGGGTCTTTTCCAGGGAGTCTTCTCTTCTCATGAGGTGGCCAAAGTCTTGGAGCCTCAGCTTCAGGATCTGTCCTTCCAGTGAGCACTCAGGGCTGATTTCCTTCAGAATGGAGAGGTTTGATCTTCTCGCAGTCCATGGGACTCTCCAGAGTCTCCTCCAGCACCAGAATTCAAAAGCATCCATTCTTTGGCGATCAGCCTTCTTTATAGTCCAGCTCTCACTTCCATACATCACAACTGGGAAAACCAGAGCTTTAACTATACGGACCTTTGTTGGCAAGGTGATGTCTCTGGTTTTTAAGATGCTGTCTAGGTTTGCCATCGCCTTTCTCCCAAGACGCAGGCGTCTTTTAATTTCGTGGCTGCTGTCACCATTTGCAGTGATCACATCATGTACATCATTGCAATAATCCTTACAATAAAAGTTAGGTCAGTGTTGTTATTCCTGTATGAGGTGGAGCTGGGAGAATTATGGGCTTGCCTATGACCACCTAGGGCAGGGGGTGAGATACAGGCTCAACAGAGCTCATAGACTTGGAAGGGACCTTGGGGGTCATCTAGTCCAACAGTGCAGGAATCTTGCCCACAGCTGACCCTGAGTGGGCTCAAACCACCAGCCTTCTGATTAACAGTCAGGGACACAGACCCATTACGCCAGGGCGTGCTGCTGCTGGAGACCACTGGCCCATTTCTGGCAGATTCGCCTAGGACTCGCTGGTTCCTTGGATTTTTGCAAAGGGGCAGCCTTGGTCTGATCCTGCAAGGTGCTTCTCATATCAGAATCTCTGGGTGCTGGTTAGTTATTCCTTCAGTGTGTAAAGAGCCAAGTGTCCATTCTTGATCTGGGACCTCATATTGTGTTTGGGACCCATGAGGATTCTAGAACAAAGCAAAGGCAGAGCATGAGGCCAAAGTCAGGCCACCCCTGTCCTTCACCAGCTCTCACATTCCTGGCAGGTGTGGGATCTTTATTACTATTTGCAAAACGCTCCATGCTGCCAACTTTAGGAAGAAATATCATGGTAGTGAACAGCATGGAATCAATAGTACAATTGCATCCCTAAAACAAGTCCTGGAAGGACTCACCCTCCCGGTCGAATTGTAGGAGACACACCCTGTCCTGTGACTGCCATTTCGTGGAAGCGGCTTCTTCTCTGGCCAGCAAAAGCACAATTGGGAAGGGCTTTTTCTTACCCCTGTCGGCATCCACCTGAGTGCCTGCTGAGATCCCAAGCAGCCCTGGCAGCGCAGAGCTTCTGCTTCGATTCCGCTCACACCGCCATCTCCAAAAACAAGGATATTTGGCCCTTGGGGCGAGGAGACCTACTTCCTTGCCTGCGGAAGCTGGTACTTGAGAAGTGAAAGGAGGCAGCGCCCAGGAGAAGCAGCCGTGCCATGCAGCTGGTTGGGAAATCTACGCGGAGGCGAAATCTTTTGGAAGGCACAGTTGGGCTTCCCCTGCTCCTGGGAGCTCCATTGTGCCCCAGAAACAACACACTGCAATATGAAATGCAAAGCCCTTGATGCAGATTAGAAGTATACCTGATCAATGCCACTTAGCTTTGGTTGGACTGCCCAGGAGCAGCAAAGTTTAAGAGGTTTTCCTGCCCCACCAGGCCCTTGCAGATATCCCTGAAAAGGTGACAGACAGACCTTTGGTGAGGGGGCAAATGCGCAGAAAACTATGGGGACTGGCTTGTGCATTGCATTGCCCTGCTTCCAGGCTTGATTACAGTGGTACCTCAGGTTAAGAACTTCATTCGTTCTGGAGCTCTGTTCTTAACCTGAAACTGTTCTTAACCAGAGGTACCACTTTAGCTAATGGGCCTCCCGCTGCCGCCGGAGCACGATTTCTGTTCTCATCCTGAAGCAAAGTTCTTAACCTGAGGTACTATTTCTGGGTTAGCAGAGTCTGTAACCTGAAGTGTCTGTAACCTGAAGTGTCTGTAACCCGAGGTACCACTGTACTTGCAAAAAGCCCACTGGTTAGGGTCAGGAGGTCCGTTGTGGACGGAGAACCACCTTGGGCAGATTTAGCACCCAATGCTGTGCTTTGAAGACTCTTCTGGTTGAGATTCAAGAGTGCTTATGCTGCGCTGGAGAGACTGGGCAAATTAGTCATGGCCCGCAAGGGAGAAGGACAAGGAGGGAAAGCAAACTCACTTGTCAGTTATTAAATAACAGTCCTTACCAAGACCAGCTGGCACAGAAAGAGCTCATGGGCAGAAGGCGGCTGCTGGAGCAGGCCTTTGGGCAAAGCATGGTGGGGCGAGCCCTGCCTCTCCCCTTTCCCATTGAGACAGGCTGGTGGCATGGCTGTGGCCAGGTAAGGCTCAAGGTGGGGCCAGCCTTGCTTATTTCGCTCATTCTCAAAGCAGGACATGAAACGGGAGGGACTCCTTTGTGATGCATCGATCAGGAGACCCTCCGCAGGCTGTGCGGGAGTGGGCAGCCTGTGCTTTCCCACCCTCTGAACCTGTGGCTGAGTCTGGGGGTGAAATCCAGGGGTCTTCCCCTGCCCTAGGGCCATGCCCAGGCCTTTGGGTGCCAGCTGGGGCTGCCAGTTACTTTGGGTCATTTCCTGATCAGAGGGATCTCACGAAACGGCCGAGAGAAACGCACCCATGGGCAGCCTTCAAAGTGTGAGGAATGCCTTTCCTTTTGGGCCAGGGGCTGGGATGGCAAGGGTGGGCTTGGGGGCGAAGGGCACAGGTGGCAGGCGCAGCCTCCATGCTGCGTAGGACAGGGAGCTGTACCAGCCATCAGAGTCGGCTTCATCCTGACAGGCATCAGCCACTGTTTTGTCTTCTGCTGCGTTTCTGCTCAAAACTAATTTATTTTATAAAAAGATTTTTTAAAATTAGTTTTGTTGTTTGTAAGCGAGCCAAAGCTGTTTGTGTGAGGGGGAGAGAAGCCGGAGGTGTTCCACACCAATTATAATGGTGGTGGTTGTTTTTTTCAGCTGCTTGATTTAACAGAGTTTCCCCTCTAAACTCTCCATGCTTGGTCTGGGCGTGGGAGGGAACGAATGTCACTGCGGTTCTTTGTGTGAAGAGACGTGCAGGAACCCCGGAGTCAGAACACTCCCAAGTGGCTCACGCAGAGGGGGACTGTGGCGCTTGTTTGGGGCTGGGTGGGTGAGGACTGTACCACTTTTGTGCTCTTCCCAGTGCCTGGCAGCTAGTAGGAGCATCCTGCCTTAGAATCATAGAATTGGGGCGTTGGAAGGGACCCCAAGAATCATCTAGTCCAGTCCCCTGTAATGCAGGAATCACAGGTAAATAACCCCTGACAAGTGGCCTTTCAGCCTCTGCTTGAAAACCTCCAAGGAAGGAGAGTCCACCACCTTCTGAGGGAGTCTGTTCCACTGTCCAATAGCTCTTGCCCTCAGAAAGTTCTTCCTAATGCTTAGTCGGAATTTCCTTTCTTGTAACTTGAATCCGTTGGTTTGGGTCCCAGCTTCCAGAGCAGGAGAAAACAAGCTTTCTCCCTCTTCCATGGGACAGCCCTTGAGTTATTTGGAGATGGCTCTCATATCGTTCAGCCCGGACACTGAGGTCCAGCGCCGAGGGCCTTCTGGCGGTTCCCTCACTGCGAGAAGCAAAGCTACAGGGAACCAGGCAGAGGGCCTTCTCGGTGGTGACTCCCGCCTTGTGGAACACCCTCCCATAATATATAATATTATGGATAAACAACAATAGATAAACAACTACCTGACATTTAGAAGACGTCTGAAGGCATCAGGGAAGTTTTTAATGTTTGACATTTTAATGTATTTTTAATCTTTGTTGGAAGCTGCCCAGAGTGGCTGGGGAAACCTAGTCTGATGGGCGGGGTACAAATAATAAATTATTATTATTATTATTATTATTATTATTATTATTATTACTATCATCATCATCATCATCATCATCATCATCATATCTTCTCTCAGTCTCCTCTTTTCCAGCCCAAACATACCCAGCTCCTTCAAGCGCTCCTCCTCAGGCTTGACCATTTTGGTTGCCCTCCTCTACACACCATCCCACTTGTCAACATCCTTCCTAAATTGTGGTGTCCAGAACTGGACACTGGACTCCAGGTGTGGTGTGACCAAGGCAGAATGTCGTTGTCCCTCCTGCCTGGGGACATGCCATATGCTGACAGCTTTCCTGGTGGGGTCATCATGGAAGGGAAGACTATCGATGGCTTCTGACCACGATGGCTCAGAGGCAGCAAGGCTTCGGAGTGCCTGTTGCTGGGGACCAAAGGAGGGGAGAGGTCTCGTGCACTCAGATCCTACTTGCTGTTTTCCCACAGGCAACTAACTGTTCAGCCACGATGAGAAGAAGGTGCTGGACTGGGTGGGCCCCCTTTGGCCTGATCCCGAAGGCTCTTCTGTTCTTATCCTCAGCGTGGAGTGATGGGAAGCAGCTGCCCCCTTCCTGCATTTCCAGCAGTGAGAGGGGGGTTAAGAATGCCTTGTGTTCCCGCCATGTCTGAGCTCTGTGCCTTTCTGTCTTTGCAGACTTCGTTTTACGGAAGGTTTAGACACTTCTTGGACATCATTGACCCCCGCACCCTCTTTGTCACTGAGGTAATGTGTGAGCGTGCGTGCCTGAGTTTGCTGGGTAGTTCTCTGGCCTCGTCTTCAAAACGATGATGGTGATTCATTTCATTTATATTTTTAATAAAAAAAACCCCAAAGCAGTTTACAACCCACATTAAAACATGAAATAAAACAATCTAGCACAAAACGTTACTGAAGAAAGTCACATATAAGGTATGCATTCAAAGCAACGTATTTAACAAGAAACTAAAACTTTATCTTAAAGATTTCAAAATGAAACTTTACGAAGGAAATCAACTATAGAATGCACGTTTAACGTAGCAAAATTAATAAAAAAAAATCTTAAATATTTCCAGAGAAAACATTGCTATAGGAATTCAAACATAAAATGCACATTTAAAACAGCATAATTAGCAAGAGAATCAAATCTGATCTGAAGCGCGGAACATGATGCTACCATGTTCCGAGGAAAACATATGTTTTAGCTATAAGCTCCGATGCCTGGCCTTGCAGAATCAACATGGAGGGAGCTCTGTGCAGGTGCCAGGAGGTATGTGGGGAGGCACTCCAAGATGTGCAGAAGCATGAAACTAAACAAAAATCTGGGAAGCCCCAAAAGGGCACCAGTGAGAACTGGGCACGCTTATGCCAGCTGTTTGAGGGGAAACCAGGCTGGAAGGGGAATAGGTGGGGTGTGTGTGAATCCTGGAAGAGTCCATGGTTGTCTGGAACCTTGAGCAGGAGCGACTCCACCACATGGTAACTCTTGTTGTTCTTGTTGTTCTTACATCTTATTACCTGCCCGTCACCCTAAGGACCCAGGGCGGGTTATAACAATTAAAACCCAACATTCATATTGTTGGCATCCAGCTGTCTTGGGAGACAATGGAGGAGTCCGCCTTTGGGGGTGAGGTCAAACCATTGGCAGGTTGCAGCCCCTGCTGTGGCTGTAGAGACCGATACAGGAGAGACATGTTTTGTTGCATCTGGGGCAGAGGAAGGCAGCCGCTTGGGCTGCTGCAGTTTCTTCTCTCTGGGCTCCTCCCAGCGGTCATTTCTCTTCTGGTCACTGCTGTGGATGCAGGATCTGACTGGCTTCAGGTGTGGTGGTCATCTAAGAAACAATATTACACAATATAAAAAACAATACGACATATATATGCCAAAATAACGCAGGTCCTAAAAATATACACCTCAAGTATATATTGAAGAGGGTGAAGAGATGCGTCCTTTGGAAGCTGTGCAATGAAGGTACTAGGGAGACCTCTGTGGAGAGGGAGTCCCACAGTTCAGGGGCCACCACAGAGAAGGCCCTCTCCTCCCTGACCACCCTCCCCAACCTCTGAAGGCAGAGGAACAACCAAAAGGTGCTGATCTTAGCACCTGAGAGGGTCTGTAGGGAAGGAAGCAGTCTTCCAGGTATTTGGGGCCTGAGCCATTTAGGGCTTTGAACACCAACATGAGTACCTTGAATTGGTCTCGGGTATAAGCAGGCAGCCCATGCAACTGTTTTAAATCAGGGGTGACGTGAGATCTAAATGGAAGCCCCGCCAGTCATCTGTCTGCTGCATTTGGGGCAAGGTGGAAGTTTTTGAGTCGTCTTCAAGGGCAGCACCACGTAGAATGTGTTGCAGTATTCCAGTCAGGAAGTTACTAGATCATGTACGTTTCCGAGCACAATTCAAAGCATTGGTGCTGACCTTTAAAGCCCTTAAATGGCCTTGATCCTGTATACATGAAGGAGCGTCTCCACCCCCATCATTCAGCCCGGACACTGAAGTCCAGCTCCGAGGGCCTTCTGGCGGTTCCCTCCTTGCGAGAAGCCAAGTTACAGGGAACCAGGCAGAGGGCCTTCTCAGTAGTGGCGCCCGCCCTGTGGAACGCCCTCCCACCATATGTCAAAGAGAAAAACAACTACCAGACTTTTAGAAGACATCTGAAGGCAGCCCTCTTTAGGGAAGCTTTTAATGTTTGATGCTGTATTGTTTTTAATATTCAGTTGGATGCCGCCCAGAGTGGCTGGGGAAACCCAGCCAGATGGGCGGGGTATAAATAATAAATTATTATTATTATTAGTAGTAGTAGTAGTACAGTGGGCGAAGAAGCATCTCTGTCCAAAAGTGGGCAAACCACTTAGAGCAGGAAAAAAGCTGCTCCGAACCTGCTGAGCCTCCAGGGACTGCGTTGCATCTTCTCCAGTGAAAGTTCTTACTAGGGGTGTGCACTTCGGGTTTGGAGATAGCATAAATCATAGAGGCCTTCCTGGGTAAGAAACTTGCCAAGTTACAGACAAATAGGTGCCTTTTTGCCGGGTGCCTTTAAAAGGAGAGGGGGGGGACTTAAAGGGACTTGCTTCCCTCCCTTTTATGGGCAACAAAAGGAAATGCAAACTAGAAAGAAGGAAGGAAAGAAAGAAAGAAAGAAAGAAAGAAAGAAAGAAAGCGGCCTGCAACATTTCAGAAGGATGTGGGCGAGGGCAAAGAAGTTATGGCAAATGAAAGAAGCAGCTTCAGGCCTGTGTTGTGCTCAGCTGGCATGAAATGTTGCAGAGACCGGGTGCAAAGCTGACTTGACAGGCATGGCTGTGTGGGAAGGCGACACCGAGGCAGAATGACCTGAGTGCCCTGCGCTTTCCAGGGAAGAGCCACAAGAAGAAGTAGCAGAACCGACAAGAGCAAGGCGGTACAGAAGCCCAGGGTCCCCATCGAGGGAAGTCATCATGCTATTCTATTCTGCCTGGAGTCCCGTGTCCAGTTCTGGGCGCCACAAGCAGGAATGTGTGCAGAGGAGGGCAGCCAAGAGAACCAAGGGTCCAAAAGGCAAGTGCTTGAAGGGGCTGAGTACGCTTAGCCTGGAGAAGAGGAGACTGAGAGGAGAGAGGATGCCTAGAGGGCTGTCACATGGAAGAAGGAACACACTTGTTTTCTCCTGCTCTGGAAGGTGGGACTCAGAACCTACAAGAAAGGAGATTCTGACTCAACATCAGGGAGAACTTTCTGACGGCTGTTCAACAGTGAAACTGCCTCCCTTGGGGGGTTATGGACTATTCTTCCTTGGAGCCTTTTAAGCAGAGGTTGGGTGGCCATCTGTCTTGAATGCTTTAGCTGAGATTCCTGCATTGCAGGGGGTTGGACTAGATGACCCATGGAGTCCCTTCCAATTTTCTATGATTCTGCGATACGTCACTGCAACATCCCTTCCTCCAGGCTCTGTGACTGCGGAGCCCTGGCAAAATCATCCCCCCGATTAGAAGCTAGACCTGCCGCTCACAATAGCTGTCTCTCTCCCCACCCTGGTTTCTTCCTTCTATGGCAAGCTCTGGGAGAAACGTTTCAGTATTTGCGGACACACTTCTTAACAGAGTTTTCTCAATGTTTGGCTTTCCGAAGAGTCCCCTCCACATATTAACCAGCCTGTGAAGGTTAGACTGAGCGACACCAGCTGAGCTTCAGGGCTGAAGTGGGGCTTGGACCCTGGTCCTCATCCAGTGCTCTTAACCACTGCCCCGCTCTGGCTCTTGTGCAAGTCGCCCTCCTGCTCAGATTCAGTATTTTGCAGCTCTCTCTGCCCCTCTTCTGCCTGAGCAGCCGCTTTGAAGCGACCATCCCAGAGCCTTTTCTTGCACAGACGATTTGGCTCCTGAACTGACCATTTACTTTATGAGCGTATTAGAGTCCAATTCTCTGCGCGCCAGGTTGAGAACACCCCCGGCAGGGATTTTATTTGTGCTTCTTCCACAATTGATTGGCTTAATTCGAGAGCAGGCGGCTAAGATGGATAGGATGGGTTCCTGCGAGCCTCTTTGGGCCCCCGCCCGAGAGGACTGCAGCGGAGAAAACTGCTGTTCGGAGGGTGTAATGCCGGCGACGATGGCTTCGTTTATGAAACACAAGCTGCAGTGAAATCTGTAATCAATTTTCAGGGATGCGTGCGGAAGGCGAGACGTGCTGTAGCAGGGACGCCTTGGCCTGGCCTGAGAACTGCGTGAGCCTCCAGGAAGGTGAACGGGAGCAGGGGAAGGGGATCCTCTCCCAGCCAAGGCAAATGCAGCTCCAAACCCCACACGGATCCCTTTGGGGTGAGCCCCTTGTGTGGCAACGTTTTATACGTAGGGCTGCCTCTGAGGACGGTTCGGAAAATTTCACTGGTGCAGAATTGAGCAGCCAGGTTGCTCACTGGGGCAAGACGGCTTGAGCATCTTACAGTCCGACTGCACTGGCTGCCAGTTAGGTTCCGGGTCCAATTCAAAGTGCTGGTTTTGAACTATAAAGCCTTACATGGCTCAGGACTGCCTCTCTCTGTATGAACCTACCTGGGTCCCGTGATCGTCTTCTCAGGCCCATCTTCAAGAGACGCTTCCGTGAGAGGTCCAGAGGGTGGCAGCACGAGAACAGGGCCCTTTCTGCAGTGGCTCCTTGCTTGTGGACTGCTCTCCCCAGGAAACGCGGCAGTTGCCTTCATTATACACCTTAAGGTGCCAGGCCAGCCCGAGAGCCACTGTTGGTCGGAAGAGACAGTAGTGGCCCCCGAATCCTGCTTGTGGGCTTTGCAGAAAAGGCCTCTGGTTGGTTCCTCTGAGGACAGAATGCTGTTGGCCTGACCCAGCAGGCTCTCCTTATCTTCTTACGTGGTATGGCTAAGCTAGACGGGGCAACAATTTGACCCCACCAGAAGGCAGCCGCCTAGGTTTCTTTGCACTCTTTGCAAACTAGTGACACCTGGCCAGGCAGCGAGAGGCCCGTGCCCACCCTCCTTTCAGCAGAAGAGCGCTGCACTGGGGTTTGGGTTTGCCTTCAAGACAGCTCCCTTGCAGAGTTGCTTCCTCCCATTGGGAAAGAGTGGGCCACTCTGCCTCCTAAGAAGGATCTGGAGAATGCTGTGCTTTTCTGCATTCTTGCCGTGTGCTTTTGGGAGGCTTGTGTGTCCCATGCGGTTCAGGGGGGTGGGAGGGTCAGGGGCACGTGCAGCTGGGAGGCAGGACGTTGACCACCCACCTCCCTCTCTTCCTGTCCTGCACCCGTGCCGAG